TAGTTTAGGTTGTTACTGACAAGGCGATTCATTTGCCGCCTCAACCCCGAGTACGTGAAGTGGTCGTCCCGACGTCATACAGGTAGGCTCGTGATCAATATTAAAGCTATTTTTGAAACTCGCCTGGAATGTAATGGTTTTCGGTAGTGAGACACGAGGAACAGTCTGCACCCAGCAATTTATCATTCACCTGCAAGACGTGGTTATGTGCTCTCTGATAAGCTGCGAAAACAAAAAGATGTGCTTTGAAGTTTGTGAAGCTGTTGATGTCTCCAAATGTTGATCAAACTCTTCAGTAGGTTCAAGAATTGACGAAAATAGTTGCAGACAGAAGACATGAATTTGAAACCCTAGGAACATGTAATTTTGAAAAAATCAGTCATTCGAAAATGTACAGAGCACTAAAAATAAGGGGAAAGTTGGAGAAGTTGGGATTTACGAATTTTATTGATTCGAAGCCAGTATATCTGTACTCCAAACTGCTCATTTCTGTTAATAGGATGCAGAAGAAAATGTTCAAAATTAAAAAACCAAAGTGAATAGCATCGACGGACGGAATTCTTGAATAGTCGCCATTTTTCCCCCATATCATCATGAGCTGAACGATCAGTTGTAGAGCGCGGCACTTTCGAAGCATAATGTCGAAGAATGCATGAAACGGCTTGAGAAACAAGATGGAAGGGTTGAAAAATTGCCGAACTTTCGCGAGTTTAACATTCCTGCATCGCGAGTCAAACTGTCCTCGGAGAAGCGGGATCGTTGAAGAGGTTGGATGCCTTCGGCTTCTACCATCTCCCCCTCAATGTCATTCACGAAGGTACCAAAGGTCAGTGACCCTGTATTCGAAGATCGAGAGAGTTAGCTGGGTGGCTTTGAAGAACCGTATGAGATGGCTTGGACATACATCCATGCGGATACTCATCGTGATCACGGTTTTAAAGGCGTGGTCAACAATAGGATGTAATGCATATCTTCATGAAAGCCATTTCGTCTAGACATTTCAGACCTTATGTAGCTGGTATAGTTTTACGCAATTTTAACAAAAAACTACCACGACTTGGCATTCTGTTTTTGTATGTGCCTACGTACGTCTAATGAGGCTTCGGTCAGCTGAAGGCACGACACAGTGCCAAAGCTTTTGACAGTGTCAGTAAAAGCATTTCAACTGAAACTGTCGGGGAATGGGAACTACGTGATGTCTAGATGCTTTTTGGACCACGGCAATACATACTTGCCCAACCGTTAACTATCAGCTTTTTGATTCCTCGTGCTCTTCTCTTTATTGAAGTAAAATCTTGAGTATTCTCGAATGTTATGGCCTATAACTTCATCGTAACTATTTTCTATGTTCTAGGACCAAAAGCGGCGCAAAGTTCAAAGCTCGTGCTCTTCAATACTGTCTAGAGGATGATGTCAACATCTTGCAGGTGGTTTAACTTGCTTCACTTCTCCTGTTAGGCAGTATTATAGAATTCCCAGTGATTTCAATATCTTCAATGTACAACATGGCTTCAGCAGCTTTCAAGTTACTATTATAACATATATTTCAGGACAATGACTGGATCGTTCATCTAGATGAAGAGACGTTATTAACAACAAATGCGGTGAGGATTTTTAGATTTATTCATTTCATTCCGTGTGGGTTGAAGACAAAAGCACAAGAGAGGAGGTCCTCGTTTTGACTTTCGAAATTGAACTTGGTGTCACATTTTCTCTTTTTGTATTTCTGCAGTTTCTCTCCATGCAACTCTGACAGCCATAATGCTCAACAGGTGTCAACGTTTACAATTTTGATGACTTGCGCTGCACATGTTGTGCTCGTAGACTTAAAATGTGGAAAGTTGGAAATGGAAATCCGAGTGTTTCTTTGGAGAAAGCCTAGGGGGTGTTCAGAAACGCATAACTTCACTGTGGACAATGGACAGCATCCAATTCTGAAGCTTCAGACTTCTTGAACAGAAGTTTGGTGTTGAACATATTCCCAATGTGTATGGGAATAGTGTTCAACACCAAACTTCTGTTCGATAAATCTGAAGCTTCAGACCTTTAGAAGTTAGGAATTGGATGCTGTTCATCGCATGCCCGCCAAATGCTCTGAACGGCAAAAATGATGTTTATTTCTTTGGAGAGCTTTGATGCATAATCGAAACGTTGGGAGCCTTCTGTTGCATGAACCAGGAATTCCATTCAATTTATGTAATTGCATTCACTCGATGCCCATGAGCAACATCTAATTTCAGAACGTTTCGGCTAAATTTAAAACACCTTGTCATTCACTAAGCATTAACTGCTTTCTAGCTAATCGAATACTAGCATTGTCAAGCTAAGATTAGAAACATTATTTTGAGCTCCGGAAATATCCGGCAAAAATAGGAGTGTAGACGGCTGTCTGGAAAATTCATTACTATGTTACATGCGAGTGTTGTGAAACAATTCGGTATGTTTGAGTAGATGAGGAGTAACCAGTTAGTAGTGATTAAATAAACGATTTGACGTCCCTATAATGTTTTCCAAAGACTTCAATGGTCTTTTTAAGATATGTGGCATTCTGAACTTCTGCGAAGACGGTCGTCATCAATTCGGTCAAGGGGTGATCACATATGCAAGCGGGGAAATTGTCAACTGGCTGACAACGCTGTCGGACTCCTTCAGGTACAAATTTTTGTTCATTACCGTTCTAGATTGAGGCTTGATTTTTCTACGATCCTATTTACTGCAAGCTAACGCACCTTGCTCTTCGACGCAATCCGGATCAAATATTTCAATCAAATCTGCGTCGTCTCAGTATGGCAGCCCCACTCATCTCGTCTTAGCTTTCACTCATCTCTTAAGCTAAGCCTTTTTCCTGACTCGGTTTATCTCCTGTCCTCTCATTCTCGGTGTTTTATTCATCTTGTAGAATTTTATAAACTTCTAGAAGGAAGGACCTAAATTTCAGTGCAACGTGCGCTTCTTTTGAAGTCTCCTACATTCAAAGCATGCATAGTTTACCTTGAACAGTGTTTATTTCCGCCTTTTCTAGAAAATTCTTACATAGACCTAGACAAGGTGTATTAATGCAAAAGATCGATACACTTTCCCCATCCTTAGCTCTGCTAATTTAACCCTTTGACGACAATGGCACTCACCGGTGGGTGCCATTATGAGTGGCGCATGGGACATTGGCCCCCAATTTTGGGTGCCACCCATACTTTCTTGTTTCTTTCCAATAAGCGAGGAGGTGATTTTTCTCCTGGTACAGTGCCACCCAATGGTGGGAGCCAGTCGGCCGCGAAAGGAGGGGAGTGTGGTCCCATGGGCGCGTCAGATCGAAATCTGCATTGTCGCCAAAGGGTTAAGAAAGTTTGGTCAGGCTATCTCTGTTCGAGATAAATGTTTTCTACCGTAGAAGGGGCTCGGTTAGTTTATGTGCTTCGTATTTGTTGACCCTTGGCACATCTCTCCGCACTTGACTGCCCTTTCAGATGCTCATTTAGCTTTCACGGACGTTTTATACTTGATTAGAATTGTGTTACGTTTCTAGAGTTGCGGACGACATGGGTAAATTACGACTTCAGTTCAAGCTCTTTCACAAGCCTCTTTTCGGTTGGAAAGGCTCCTTCGTTGTCACGCAGGTGGGCTTTCTTGTTGGAAGGGCTTTGTGGTTTCATAGTGACTTGTTAATATTACTCCCCAATATCTGAAGAACATTTACTCATGTTTATCTATGCATTAGGCATAACAATTTTCATTTTCAAGGTTGCTGCAGAACGAAATGTGTCGTATGACCACGGTATGGAGGGATCTATAGCAGAAGATTGTTTCTTTTCGATGATCGCGATGAAACACGGGTACACTTTCGATTTTATAGAAGGTCGGTTCCTTGTTGCCGCAAATTGAAGATGTATGTTCTCGATTCTGAATGTATTCTGAATGTCTAGGTGAAATGCACGAGAAAAGTCCATTCACGATGTGGGATTTTCTGCAGCAGCGGAAACGTTGGCTACAGGGAATTCTACTAACAGTCCACTCACCCCGGATTGCACTCACACATAAGGTATGTCTTTTCTACTTATTTCAAATGGAATGAATCAAAGGCTTTCACTTGTCGTTCTTTAGGCGCTCCTTGCACTATCACTGTATGCATGGGCCACTATGCCGTTGACTTCTCTTCAAGTAAGTGCTTTTGAATTTGAGCCGATTGTGATAATTGCAAATAATGTGATCTATAGTGAAATAGTTATGTTTGCCCTGGGAACTACTCCTCCCCTTTATTCACTTCCATCCCATGTAAAGATAAGGAAAGGGAAGTGGTGTGGGTAGATGTTGATGGATGCATTATACACAGGTTGGAGTGGCCTATTCCTCGCAAGAAAACATCGGAAATAGCAATTTTTCTATGTAGTTTAGCTCCCTCAGAAATGATCATTTGAAGAAGAGCCCTATTAGGACTATCAAATATCACCTCGCACTTACCAACCACATTTCCACGCTTTCTTTATGGCTCAACTTGACCACATTTAAGATCTACGCCCATGTTCAGGACTTCCCTGACAAATGTGTACCGTCCCATGTTTTTGCTTGGGGAAATCTCATCTAAGAAACTTTTGCTGTATTCACTCTTCCTTCCACCATTTTGAGTGTTCGAAATCGCAACCTCCGCTTCCTGCATTGAAGAAATGTAGCAAGTGCTGTTCAATATTGACTCTAGCGCTTACGATTTGCCCACTCTCAATGATCAAACACGATCTGATGTTCTGTGGTCAACCACGTCGAAAAGGTGTTCTATGTGGTTGATAGTTTAATTGGCCCACAGGTATTTCGAATACCTCACAAAAGTTACGATGATTACTGATAGCCCTCTGGGACATCTGAACAGAAGGTCATAGCTTCTTGGAGCGCAAGTAGAAGTAATTCAACTTAGATAGTTCCAATGGTTCAGGTACCATTCCCTCTTGGTCATTCTTTGTTGCTTATAGTTAGTTTTATTGATGTTGTAAAAGAAGTAGTTACCATTTAGGTATTTCTCTGTCCGCTCTTCCCCCTTCCTCGTTGTCTGCCGTTCGATTTCGCGCTTTCTTTTGTTGGTGCTGTGAATCTATACATGTATATATTCGGAGTAGTAAAATCATTCTCACACAAATACAGGTACTGTACCTTTGTAAATGTATTAATTAAATACGGAGGTTTCTATCTTCATTCCCGCGTTACAGGAACAGCGCTTTTCGATTGATGGTCTATCTATTGGGAGCTCTAATGACAATACCATTTAATGTCATTATTGAGAATGCAGCTGTACTAGTTGGAATGTGTGGCCGAAAAGATCAATTCTACATCGTTAACAAAGACATACAGACCGTATAGCAGCTGTGATATTCCTGTGCCAATCATCAGGGCTACACCGTAAACGAAAGAAAGACGCTGGGTTCAAATAGCTCAAATTCTTTTTCATATATACTATTTATTCGTATTTTCTCTACACTTTTTACATATGATTTCCCTACAGTTTCGCTATATTGCTTCTAGTGATGCGTTCTGTGCCTACTATTTACTTAAAAACTCGGTTGCTGCCGTTTGCCTAAGCGTTTCTAATAGTTGATTCGTGTATGTTTACAAAGCGTTTATAAGAATTACGTTATTACTTCGTTGCATTGTAAGGTTATGACACATGTGAACTAACCGATTGATTGTGTGTGCGTGTGAACTCGAAACACGGGTGATCTGTACTTTGTGTTACCATATTGACGTGAAATAGCATAATTTAAGATTGCAAAATTGTATCGCCTCGACTATCATGCTGCTTTGGCAACGTTCCAATGCAGCAGCTATGGTCTAAGTGTTATTAGATTTTGTCAGTTTATATATGTCGTAGAATTACAAGGCAATGTCGTGTGAACGTGATTCTATAGGCTTATATTCTTTTTTCGTACGAGTTTGTTTTTTTATAATGATCCGGTTGAACGATTCCTGTGATTTCTCGTATGTTTAGGCTTGTAAAACGCTTAGAGATTGTAAGATGGCTCATGTCTTGTATTGTAATTTGTGTTACTCGCTGACTGCCCTCCCTCTTCGAACGCGGACATGCTCTATCCGTCCATCGCGCTTCTCTTTTGTATTTCGCACCATAATACGAATCTCTTACGTTCTATGCTCATTGTTGTTTCTCTTTGTATTGTTGAAGCATCACCCTATTAGTTGTCTCGTATTTTAAGCGAGGGGACTACCCTCTAGTGCCATTTGTTCCGTTGGCTGACGTAACCGGGCCATGATCACGCTTTATGGGTTCGTTGCGACATGGATCCGTAGCAATCGTCGCCTTAAGAAAGTAACAGATTTTGGAAAATGTATGTAGATGGTATTTCCTGTACTTTTTCGGTGATGAGACCTTTACGCATAATCACTGAGGTTGCCCGGAATCTGTCGCATACGATCAAGGCGAGACTCCATCGGGTACCTCTCCAACCGCAGCCACTTATGTACGGGTTATTTTCAGTCGGTGTACGGCTTATCCCCGAATTCGGCGCCGACATCAAATGCTTAAGCTTTCATCCATGACTTTCTCCGCCTTATATGTTTACAATTGAATGTAAATGAAGATTCTATATCTATGAGCTTTATCTTATATGAAGTACAATGTACATTATCCATCACTAGTCTGATAATACAAGGGCGCCCGTATAGAGCTGAAGCATCAGCCGAAAAACAGAAAATGAAGTGAGCCTATTTATACCGTAACACCCCGATTATCGCAATTCTAATAGACTGAAGAAAACATTTCTATGTCGCTATGACTGAAGACGCGCAGGACGATGATCCGCATCTGAACGGGCATTTAGTAGACGTACAAGACAACCCCGAGTCAGTACAGCAGGAATATTGCTGCATTGCTAAACTAGTACAAGGTTATGTGAAATGGTAAGTATAGATGCGATGGATTTTGTGCGTCAATTAGAAGTTCTTTCATTTGGAAGATTAGTTGGAATGAAAATGTCGCGTGAAATGCAAGGAGGTACGAAAACTGAAGGATAAACAGGTTTGCTTACTTTTTCAAAATCGTAAAAAGCCTTGTGGACCAAAAGGATCTGGGTGTCAGAGGAAAAACCTCGAACTAACTTGAACTTGAACAGAAAAGAACTTCATCTGAATCCGATAGGGTACCTCAGTGTACGGGATATCATCAGTGATTCGGCCCAAATGCGGTCAAACTGAACTATTTGAACAAAATGAATAGAAATAGGGTGCAAGTCAATTACGAAAAGAACATAGTTGTTACATAGTCTTTTAGGAATACATAAGAGGATGAGCACCAATTAAGATATCTATGAGGTTGAGCCCTATATACTAGATAGCACTCTCAACTGAGAACAACGATTCCGTATTCGTACAAAGCCCCCACCCGAGTTTTGGGTATTGTGAGTCAAGGTAGGTTTTAGGCTCACCGTTCCCTTCTTTTTTCGCGTTTCCAGAAAATTTCAGAGACAATTTCATAGAAAACAATGTGCTGCTTGCAAGCGTTGTCCACGATCATAAAATCCCAAAACGTAGCAAAAAACGAGGTGGATAGGTTGATAGTACGATAGGACCATCTAAGGAAAGCGGCGTTGACTGTGCGAGGGAGGCAGTGAACTAGTGAAAGAATCGTGAGGACCAAGAGAGAAGCTGTAGGATCTTCGGCTCAACCACGTGAATAGGACAAATAATTTTTGTTGCGGAGATATGATTTAGCGCCCAATCAAAAGTTACTCGAATCACCATCGGCTTTAGTAAAAAACCAACTCCCCCTTGCGCGAAGTATCTGACAAACCTCAGTGAGCTTTGTGAGCTTCGAAAACAGACCTCTGTTTGTGTGGTAAAGCCCGTCACTCACGCAGATTGTTATTTTATCGTTATCCTATTGGACTCGACAGTAAAATACAGCGATTATATCGTTGCGTCTGACGAACTCATTCATGCGACTGTCACGAGTAACTCATCACACTCCTCTCGCACCATATCCGGCCCGAGATCGATTGACGATAATTGATCGAGTTTATAGAACTGGAAGGATTCCAGGGTGTTACTGTTTTCACATCAATCACTTCATTATTTTCAGTAGGCCCTAATCCGTATCACGTTGAAACAACAACAACGACAGACGGAGACGTGAATATTTCGACTTCCGCATTCGGCCAAGTCCACCTTATTTTCTCACCTGTATTATAATGATCATTCCAATACTGTTGCTTTGTTCCCTATCAACTTTCGCTCAAGATTCCCATGATAGCATATTCCCAAATGAAGTCAACTCCATTGATTACACACCTGACCTCCCCCCTAATCAACTTACTAGCCAAGCAGGTGTAGCTGACTTTTCACCTCAACCACCAGTGTCTCCAATGATGATCCAGAATACCACCGAACCTACAACCTCCAGAGCTACTACCCCGCCAATAAACAAGGTACACAGGAAATACACAAACTACTATTTTTCAAAAATTACGAGTACTTCCTTACAAATGATTTTTTCTAGTCATACAATTTAATCCTTATGCATTCAGGAAGCGCTTTCGACGTGCATGGGAAAACTAAAACTCGCCTGCTCGGTGAACCTCTACGTAAGACGACTGCTAGACAAATATGTTGGATCCGGAAGGGTGGACAAAATTAGGGATGTAATCGATGCCGAGGTAAGGATCACTAGAAAAACTAGAACTTTTCGCGACTACAACCCTATTCCCAACCTCTTAGAAAAGATGAAAGGAAAAGTAGTTATGAAACATGCAGCTGTACAGGGGCGCACCCACGAGAGCAGTAGAGCTTATGCTACACATTCTCTTCCTCTCCCCGATAAAATCAACCAAGCTTAGTTTGCTTTTCTTTCATTTAGAAGTAATATGTGAAAGGACCGCATCGTGGCAAGTTCCTACTAGACTAGTGCTGACAAAGACCAGGCATGAAATGATTTTTTCACCCACTGTTGAGTATCCCATCTAATATTCACCAAAAGTGCGGCTATAGTTTAGATCCATAGCGTACTCCTTCCTCACGATCATGATTGGCTAGAAAAAGGCAAGAAAGGAAAACTCCTTCGAGTTTAAACATAAAACCATTCCCTGGATCACCTTCCAAAGTTCGTTTTTAGGCTGACCTTATTTGCAATCCAGATGAAAACCTTGCTATGGAGGCATTTCTAAACAATCATACTGATGCTATTCTAGTCGCCCAAGGAGGTAACTATTTCACATTTGATTATGAAGATTTGTCGCCCGTGCACATTTGACCTGTTACGATTTATAAATTGCGTGCAAGAATCTATTTAGAATTTAGAATTTATTTAAAGTTACAATCAAAAGTTTAGGATGGAGATTTCATCAAATACTTCTAGGCAAAATAAGAGTTTCGTTCCAAGGAATGAAGAGAAATAGGATCCACAGTGAAAGCGCGAAAATTGCTCTCGTACTCTTTTGACGACTACTCATATGTTATTGTTTATTTAGTAACAAACAATCTGACCAACAGTGATAAGGATCTACTCAACACAATGGATAATCTGAACGACACAATCGGAGAACGATTTTTTTATCTACGCAGATTTAGTGTAAGTAACCATATAGACCTTCTTAATTACAGTCCTCTTATGTCTGTGTAGCTGGTAAAGCAAATTACTAAATGGAAAGGAAAAGTAAGGATCAAACTGTAGAAAAGACTTACATATTGCATAATTAGGAGTAGAAATTAGAGAAGAAATCTTCCAGCATTGACTATCTTGGAGAGTTCAGGGATCTCAGCGATGATTGTTGGTTTCCTACAACACAATAACACAACCTGAATAAAAGTATTGAGGATAAACCCTCCGTTAATCAATCACGGTTTGGGATGCGCTCTGCATTCGATTTCCAATGAGAATCGTAGGGCAGTTATAGGCAAGGCGAAGGCAGGACTACACAACTATTTGCACCGACATACAGATCAGAGCTATTATCCCGCAGGACAAATGTGGTCACACAAAGGGATTTCGTGGAGATGGAAGGCCTGAACTGCCTGAGCGGTATCCGATCCGCGAATTTGTCACTATACTACACCCCCATCCTGAACATTTTTTTCGATTTACTAGAAAGTTTGAAAAATGTAATCTCACAACCATGATCCTCTTAAGTTGTAAAAGCTGTTACTGTATTTTTAAGGCCGTTAACGAGACGGATCGGGCAGTCCTTGAGCTTGCTTTCAACGACATCATGAAGACTTTCACAAGTTCCAGCGCTCCCAATGCAACAGTGCAGGCTGTCACAGCACTGTCACCAGCAGATCTTACAAAAATAAGGGTAACATTACAGTTGTGCGGTAATAAAACCCAATCGAATCCAACCAATTTCAGAATGTCGATGACGTCAACCGCTTCAATCTCGTAACGGAGCGACTTAATGCTTGCAACATAACGGATACCAATGTTGCCTCCGACGTGACCAGGTTATTTCTAATACCATCCGTGGACTAATAAAACTTTATTCATGTGACAAAAAATCCAGCTCATCGTGAATTAGGCAAAACCCTTATCTAACTCTAGAGCTGCAGCTGCACCTATGATTTCTAGTACAAGCTTCCGTACAACAGCTATTCACATGAGGCGCGACAATAAACTATGATCCAACCGACTTCTCCATCGAGAGAAAGCCATACCCTTCACCCTTTAGAAACAGCACTGAAAATATACCACGAATGGGCGCCGGACGTTGCTGGGTGACCCTACGAAGCAAACCAACGAAAACGTTTTGCAACATTTATCCCATTCACATGCCGATAATATACATGATTCAACTTTACAGCAAATTACGAACATAGAAAACGTGAGAGATCAACAACTAGACCATGCCTAAGCGACTTCGGGATCTGATTCCTGCTCGTCAGCCTTCTTTGGCTCCGCTTCGTTCGTCTCATCACCTGAAAAATTACTCATCGAACGAAACTATATATCCTTTCTAATACTAATGTATTGAAATTTCACAACTCACAGTTTGATTTGTTCTCAGCAGTAGTCTCAACAGCGCTGCTCGCCTCCTCCACGTCCTCAGGCGAACACTCCTTGCCCGGCTGCTCTGTTACAGGCAAAACATCTGCTTTGGTAGAATCTACTGGATCCGGCTCCACTGTTTCGATGTCAATAGTATCTTCGGCGTCCTGCAACTCTGTACCACTACCTTCACGATTGACATCTGCTCGTTCCTCTTTCGCCACCTCATCCAGTGCGTTTTCCGTCTCAGCTTTCTCGGCTTCGCCTATCTCGGTAGGTGTCACCTCTTTGATCTCGGCTGTTTCGGATTTGCCCATCTCGGTAGATGTCACCTCTTTGGTCTCAGTTGTCTCGGATTCACGCAGTTTCTTTGTTGCCACATCCTCATTTCCGTCTTCTAGCTTTCTCTTCTTCGGACTTCGCGGTTCATCAACATCCTACAACAGAACGATTAGCCCATACGAGGCAATTATCCAAAGTACAAGGGATCAAACCTACCCCCACACATCCCACGCAATTAGGTTTGGCACACCTATACCAACACCCGATTACCAAGTCCGCTATCACAACAAAACAACAGCACTAACCTTTCCTTCAACCACCTTCACAGGAGAAACAGCCTCCTGAAGCTGTTCAGCTACTTCAGTTGACGTCATTCTCAGGTTGCTTACTATGCCGGACAAGAACGGGAGACGCTGACGGTTCAAATGGTTAACAATGCGCGCTGACGCCGCCTTGACGATCATTTAAATCCATTTCACGATGTTGCCTGATTTCGATCAATAATTGCGCGCATTCAAATCTTGATTTTACGGGCGTGCGTTGATATGGAGGCACAACCCATTAGAAAGGGAATGCGTCAACTATTTACAGGGTTTCTAGAAAGATTTAGTGATTTGGGGTATAGGGTAGTTTTTTATGTGCTTAAATGATCAATCGATCGACAGGCTATACCGTTTTGGGTGTGTTTGTTGAGTGTGTTGCTTTGGTGCTTTCTTAATGTATAACTTTTCTTGTTGAAAAGGTCGGAACTGATTGGACTTCTAACTTCTACCGCTTGAGTTGTCACCTAGGGCGACTTTCAAGAGGAGCTAGACAAGCGTAGTTATGGGTCAATAATCTCTTTTAATCTTTTTCGACATCGTTTTCATAAGTTCCAATGAGCGAAGGTGATGCAGGGTCAAATGGCGTACTACTGCACCCGTGTTCATATCAAGGAAACAAAAACACTGATTTATAGATTGGCTTATGGGTAAGGATAGTCACCACAGTCACAAAAGTCGCACGACAGGCTTTTGTGTTTGTCTCTTTGAGTTGCATGTTTACGGGTAAAAGGTATTTATTGTATGTTGGTAGAGAAATTTTATTTATGCGTCGGCGTGTTCAAGCTCTACAACATCTTTGTGGTCAGGTTTTTACCATTAAACATTGAGGGTCAAGATCGATGTGAACAGAGCGGAAGTGCTTGTCCAAACTCTCGACGTCGCTCTCGAAAACTGCTAACAAAAACAAGGGAGTCAGGTGGAGGTAGGGGCGAAAAGACATAAGAGCGAAGGTCGATGGTCGGCAATTACTCTACCGACATCACAATTGTAACGTCAGCCGCACGCGACGGAAGAGAGTTCTAGCTGTGTTTATACCGCATACCGCCTGCGGAAAGAGAAATGATCGGCTCGCAAAGGAGCATAACAAAGTCATAAAGAATAACTTGGTGCAAGATGCTCTGGCTCGACAGAAATGACATTTCTGAGGAGTCAGATACCTACCAATGTTCTGTACCAAGACCAACATTGTGACGATCCAAAATGCCGAGGCCGCATGAGAGCTTCAAGAAAATCTAGAAAATAGAGGAATAGGTAGCGTCCGAAACCCACGTTTACGAAAAGGATGAGCACATGTTTAGCACCCTTTGTTGTTCTCTGTGGAGCACTCATGCTCGATGTTGGCAAAGCCATAAATGTAATTCGGAAAACTAAAGGGGTTTTATTACCTAAATCTTAACCTGAAAACTGCGAAACCCTCTTGTAAGCCTTTACTAATACATGGTCTCCATGATCTTTCAACCTTTCTTCGAGGTTAGCTCTTTATATCTTGCTGTCTCACTGCAGTTTTTTGAGAATACATCATATCGATCCTTTAGGTAACGATTTACTCTTTGAGTTGGAATCATTGATTTCCTTTACCATTCACAAATCCCCACATGGGGTGCTGTTCATATTTTACAAGAAACAACATCAGTTAATTATTTTAATGAGCAATAACTTGTATACAGTAAAAAGGCAACAAATTTCTGAACATATTGAGTAAAGCAAAGTCATCAGTGGTCAATTAACGCATTTAAGTGCGGTACAATCACATGATTTTATGATTAGGTAAATGTATTCATACGTAATTAGAGAATGACTCCTTGACTAACGAGTCCCTTGTCCATGAAACGCTTGCGTGAAAACGATAACCACCACTGCAAAAAAAAAGTATACTTTGCACATTCCAAGAGACTCAGTCGTTAATAGTGAATCGCTCATTTCTTAATCTAGCAATAAATAAATGAGCAACAAAGAAATGAATTGTACCCAAGGACGACAATTCTAGGAAGGTAACATTATAAATAATGTACTTAGTAACTCATTACTGATTGGACTGTGTTAACGAACCATAAAATCATAACACCAAAGTGCAAGGAATTATGAAGAAGTCAGACGTCAAAAAGAAATCAACAATATTTCCGGACCTTTTGAATACTTTAAAACACAACATGCAATTTTTTCAAAAACGTATGTCAATCTTGTGATTCGAGTGAATTGTGCTAACGCATGAAAAGTGAGCCTCGCATTCATCCGAAAGTGAGTTGGGATAACATCATTCAGAAAATAAGAATCAACCCAACAACGCAGTCGCAAGGTTTTTGTTACAACAATAGTTTACATGTTTTCGATAAGGCTATGATCTGACGTTAAGGTCCCGAGACACATACGACATTTAGTGCATGGTAAGGAACAATAAAACGTCCGTAATATGCGATAAGATTAGGTTTTTGCATTTCTTTGACAAGTACTGCTATGGAATCAAAGAAGAGCCAAATACATGAAAGTGGTTTGCTGAATTTTGCTTGCTTAGACTTTTAGTGAGCTCAGCGATTCAATCACAGACACTCCTTTTGAGTAAAACTAAGAATACGGACTGGTACACAAACAAAAGTACTATGTCGCATTTGAAGAAGAGAGAAAGAAAATAGTTGAGCAAAGTCGAGATACCCATTTTTCCATTTTTCGCGGAAACTGTTGGGAAATGAGTAACAGCAGCATCTTACGGGAAAACGTGAAGAGACGACTTCTTTCTAGCAAATAAAAGGTAACTCAACCGTTATTCACTGATCAATGTAGAGCAGCAATCGAAGCGGTGGAGAAATATATCAAGGACATTCAAAATCAAAAAAATTGAAAAGTAATGACCTTGCTCGGTTTCGCTGAAGGATCAGGGAATGCTAGCTCGCATAGCCTTACGCCCAATTCTTGCCGTAGTTGTTGCAGATATGCGCGCATTGTTTCTTCTTCCTGCTTGTTTGCAGGTGCCTGAAATAAATTTATTAGAAAAATTAATGATCGAAAAACGCTTTACATTCACGACACTTTAATTACACTGTCACAAAGATGAAGCACCTCACCTTGTACATGTTATTCAAGGGAAAGTCGGCTTCGCCAGGTATAGGCAATTGATGGCTCAAAGCTAGAGCTGCCAGGTCCTTCTGACCAGAAATTTTGTTCGGACTCTAAATATTCAGCCGCTTAAACATGAAGAAACTAACCTGGGAAGTAATAGTTTCTAAACACTCATATAAAAGGAAACACGATTCGTACCCGTTGCAACTTTCGAAGACACTCTGTGATGTACAATGTGAGATATATCAAAGTTCTATCAGAAGGTCCTTTGATCTCGAATTCACGAAAGAAAATATTAGGTTTGAAATACATAAGGGCTTCATCGATGATATCCACTTCCACATCAACTCCTGAAATAGTGATGGTTATTTGAATCGGTTTACCTATCGTCTGTTTAATTGATTGTGCAGAATAAATTCCTGCGAAGCAACGTAACAAGATATACTGTGTAAAGTACATTAATAAAGTGATCCATACTTGGTGCTGGTCCTTTAAAATTAGTTCGCAGTGGCAGGAGCGCCATGTTTGCAACCAAGAGCTCGGGCTCTATTTTCGAATGATACGCCTTAATCATACATTGCGTTGATACTAAGTGAACTGTAGTAAGGAACTGTAGATAAAAAACCAAAAAGCTCACCGGCATAATGCTAAGTAATTCGATCTGCTACGGTAATGAGTTGATCTGAATTGTTATACTGAAAAACATTCAAACACCTATTTAGAATCAAATTTGTTGGAAAAGACTGATAATATAGGGCTGAATACCCTTTCCTGAACTAATGGACAAATGTGTGAATATCACTATTTATGTGGCTCTCGTATTGATAAAATCACATTAGAAATACCCGGCGAAATGATTATGTAAAGAAAGCGATGAGAGCAACCATGAAAAAATGATAAAAGTAACAGGAAAGTCAGTGAAAGAAAGAAACACTTCTTCTGTGGAAGTTTTGCAAGAAGAGGGTTCAGTTCTTAGTGCCGGATTCGGAGGACGTTTCGGAGGCTTCTATACGCTCAATTTGTTCGGCGAACGACTGCTTCGAAAGCAGCATATAATCGATTGGTGTAATCGTTAACAATGATACCCAACGTTCCAATGCTTTGAAATCTTCGGCAGCAAAAATAAAACTTCGACCAGTTCTATAATAAAGATATGATTCAGAAAAAATAGAAACAAATTGTGGCACGGAAAAAGGAAAGAAGAACGTACGTTTTGTACTTAATTTCAAAAGTGAAGTCTTTTCCGAGCTTGTTTTCATCACAGAGTTCAATAAAACAATCCTCAATTATAAGAAGAAGAAATGGTGGTTCCGGATCATCTTGTTTGTTGAACGCGAAGAGAAGATTAGCTTTCAAAACTGCATAGCATGGCCGCCAACGGAAATCCTGAAATAAATTTGTGACTTTCCGACCATCAACCAAAACATTATGGATTTTGTGGTAGCGTTCTTTTCAGCCTTTGTGTAGTGAGAACAAATGGTTTACTCACAGCGAATTACAGACTTAACAGAGCTAAACGAGCAAGACGCATCCCACTACTATTAAACTAACACATCGAAAGAATCGAAACTATGGTAATCGATGCCTTTGGAGACTGCTTCGTCAAAAACTTAAATGCATAAACGGCACAATATTGATTTCGTTATCAAGCGCTAGACAAGTATAATTAAACGCACATAGCAAACTAGAAACAGAACGCTGCCTATCTTGAAAAGCACGAAGGACACCTTTTCCAAGTTACCACATTTGCCCCGGAAATCTATCTTCGCTTGAAAAAAAATAGGACTTCAGAATAGTCAAGCGAGTTGTTGCAATCTGATCAGCACCAAACAACCTTCACAAGCGGCGCGCATCTACTGTTAAAAACCTGCATGTTACCTCAACACTTCGATTATTGAATGGGCACAGAATGGGATGTTGTTTCATGTAAAAAAAACTTGCTTTTGAATTGAGACCACCCATTAAAAAGCCTCGAAGACAACAGTTCTTCTAAGTGCAACAAGGGAGAACGAGAACGAAAATACTCATCAAACAGGGACGTAAAAGGATGTCAAGTTCGCTACGACACAAATCAATGAATGGACGATTTCACGTGGGTGACCTTCTCGATAGGATGAACAAATGCATCTCAGATCCTGTCGCTCAAGATCCTTTTGAATCGCATTTGCGTCATCACTACGTTTAAACCTTCACATTTATCTTTAGAAGCTCCCATCTTCGCAGTCGTACTGGCTGGCCTAAAAACACCTGACTACCCGCTGGATCTTGCTGATAACAGCAACACTTGTTGCTTCAAAATCGCCTAGGAACCCCGGATCAATCTATGCCCTTCACCTCAAGTTTTTCATTTGTGCTTTGAAAACGAGTGGTAAGACGTGCTGACATTTAAAATAGTGTACTAATTGTCTCTCTCAAAAACGATCTTATCACTATTCTGATGAAAAGTGCAACTCTATCACGTGTAATCATCATAATTTCCCGTGTTTCAACACCCGAATTGGTACAAATGTAGGAGTTGTTTTTGATATAAGTGTTGTAAAGAAAATGCTATTGTACTTTGCAATTCCGTTTATTAGTAACTAGCAGTTCAAGTATCGCTAGGACAAGATACCACTCAACTCGTACTTGCAATGATGACTAGGGATCTTCGAATTATAATTAGTTTATGAAAAACAAAATTTCCATTTCCCAGTTCTGTCATGCTCGAAACGTTATGAGGAGGGTTCTAACCTAGCTTCAACTTAGAAATATCGGCGAAGTAAATGTTAACACACTTGCATTTACATTTTAACAGAGCATGTTACTCGTTGCGGAAATATCATTTACGAATTTAAATCAAAAATTATGTGTTTATATAGTGCACAATAATTACCTGTTGCAGTTGAAGATTAGCTGCGAATCGCCGTTCAAAGTTCGGATCAGCAGCCAGCCGATATAGAGAGCGAGCATTGGCCAACATCTGAATAATGAAGGAGTACCTTTTGATACAGCTTTTCCTGCTATTCGTATTACAAACATTTGGACAAAAGACAAGAAAGACACAAAAATCTTCGGAGCTCGATGGATTTGGAACGGTTGGTTATTTGAAAATAGTCCGTAAATTGTTTCATAAATCGCATGTTTCAGTTTGGTCTTTGCGAAAATGATTACGGCCAGTCGTATTATTTCAAAGAATATGAAGGACAAGAAAATCTGTGCCTGAAAAACGTGGCGAAGGTGAAGTATAGCAACCAAATCAATGAGACGGGGTATGTGTGTGTTTGCCTATGACTCATGTAATTGCGCTCCACCATGTAATACACAATGATGCATATAAGAACTCATATGAGAACTTACGTTCTACAGTTGAACGGAGTCGATTTCATTGACTTATTGATGCCATAGTAGATTCCACCGAATACTGAACCGTAGAGTCTGCAATGTGATTTCAATTTCAGATGGGCATACGTAGAAGTTGAAGTTTCTCCACGAGTTACCCAACCATACATGCAAGGATATGCAGCAGGATTTGTAGAAGGTAATTAAGTTGACTGGCAAAATCGTTTCCTCAACTTTAGTGATGGCACTACCATACCTTCTGACAAATCATCCGATAAGTCATTGATGTACGTAGGCAAATAAGAGTACTGAATTGAGATGTATATAAGGTCAGTTTAATATAGAACTCAAGTCCCACAACGTCTTATTGAACCCCAAGTAAAGATCAAGCAAATAGCAAAGCAAAAGCACCAGCAAATGCACCGTCAGTTACACTGTATATGCGAACTCTCACCAATCTGCAGCTACCGTATGAAAATAAACAATTACCATAAAGAGCAAGTTTACAATGTCTTCTGCCTTTCCGATCCTGGACGACCATTTCGAATGTCATAATGTTTCTCCAATGACAGAAGTGTTGAACTTTCCCGTAGGGTCCTGAAAATCTATTCTTTGTTTTGATTCGAAAAGTTTCCGTGTAAGAGTTTCTCTTACCAAAAAAATCTGGCTTCCGGTTTCTTTCATTTTGTCGGACTGTCGCTTTTGATTTCTCTAATGGGAAAAACTCGGGCAGTCGTCTGTAAAAATGGGGCAGGTCGTCACTGATCGCATAGTATGTGCGGAATTAGGGTGTGGTGCTGTTGGATCGGTCTAGATCGACATCTTAGGTGGAAATCTTGGTTGAATAGGCGTATAACCAGCGGGAAAGAAGCTTCTTTAGTGCCTTCAAGAAGCAGTAGACAGTAGAAGTTGTCTCTTTTCTCATATCCTGATTCCAACTTATTTGTTCACATTTAAAATCTTCTAATCTGTATCCTACAATTCTCCTCCTCGTTATCACAGGCGGGTGATAACACCAAGGGTTACACTAGAGCGAGGTGCTCGATTCTGGCCGATCCCGCTTTCGCCTCCAGTGCACGATTCAGATGATGTATTGCCTATCTTAAGAAACAAATCTTTAAAAAATCTAGGGAAAAAGAGAAAATATGAATCCCATCCCTGATACTTAGCTTTCTGGATGAACTTCGGATAACTTACGCTCCTTCAT